AAAGAGTGTTTAGCAAAACAACAAAAACAAAAACAAAAAAAAAAGACTAGTGAAAGAGTATATTTATGTTCGTTAAATATTATAAGATTTTTGTCATTAATCTCGGGTAAGTCTTGGACTCTATTTTTTAAATGTACACTGAAAATTGTATGTTGTACATGTATTATATATATATATATATATATATATATTAATTCTAATGTGATTTTAACGAACTCAAAAGTCTAATGTAGTGGGTGAAATTTATAATTAAATTTGTTAGGAGATCAATGACTGAATTCAGATAATTAGAATGTTAATATTGCGATCGCAGAGAAAATAAACAGACAAAAAAATAAAGAGAGCGAGACACATAAATTTATAGTGGTTATCCTGAGGTCTTCAGATATTTCACTATGATTGTAGAAGATTAATATAATGGAGATCTCCTTAAATGTCGGGAGAATATGTGGAAAATACAGCAGAATGTCTAGAAAACCGTTGGAAACCTTATAGGAAAATGTGAAAAAGGAGATGGCGTGTGTCACGACCCCAAATATGAGACCGTGATTATTGAGATTTAATTAAAAAAATTAACTTAATTAAAATGAGAAAAATACATATTCACAAAGAATGTATTAAAATATATTGTTCCGGAGTCTTTCTTTTACAAACAATATTTAAAACATTCCATAAAATCTAAGAAAAATAATACAACTCTCAGACAACGTCGACCACTTCGAAACAAACGAATCACTTCGAATCTCACGCCTTCAATCCATTGGCATTCACTTGTCGTGCTGTAAATCTAAACTGCTAACTCTAGAGGGGGGTTAAAACATTGAAAACAGAAGAAAAATGAGCGGAAGACCCATTAGGATATATTTTAGAAAACTTTAGAAAATTAAAAGAAAACTTTATAAATAAAAAGTATGCACAGTCCGAACAAATCATCCGGAACTAAACATCCTTTTTCTGAAAGAAAAATAAACTAAAATTCCAGTTACAGGTATCATCAAGTAATTTATAGCTATGATAAATTACTTACAACCAATAGCAATGCCATAATCCACCGTAGTGACCCGTCTGGGTTTCGGGTCCTACCTCAAAAGATACAATCTCTGTATCCTAATATTTAGGCCATCAGCGGGCTTATCAGTGCGCAAAATATCTTACTTTATGAAAATATTTGTTAAAATCTTAATTTAATTCATTGTAGACAAGAATATCCTACCTCTTAGATAGTAATTCTACGGCTCGCTCTGAACATCAACGAATCCATTCGATCTACGTGCACGGTACTTGTAAACTTTTCAACATAGTAGAATAGGCACAAACAGAGGTCACCATTGCGTTCAGTGCGTCGAAACGAGTCGCAATATGGCCTCAGATCTTCGATTGGACGTCTGAAACCTCAAGAACTGAGACTCGCCGAGTCGGCCATATGCGGCGGCGTGTATGGCCGCTCGGGTGGTCGGACGGCAATGATGCTTCGGTTCCCACAAGTTTTTTACCTCCTGAGTTCAATGGTGGAATCAATTTCACCAAATTCGACCTCTAACTGCTCAGATCAAACTCAAAAATGTCGGTAAAATTCGGCAACTTTGATCTTAATTCTTCGGCTATGAAACCTCAAAATTGGTTGAGGGTTTTTGTTACCCACTTCCTTTTGAGTTCTTTGACACCAACATCACAACGATCCAACGGCTAGATCGTCGAGACCACCCTCCACCACAACGACGGCGGCGGTAAGCTTCAAACTCCGGTAAACGGCAGCGGATTCGGGCGGCTGGGGGTTGTTTCATGCTATGAGTCGTCGTCTAAGTCCAACGGTACCGGCGGTGTCATCAACGAAGGCTGGAATAGTGCACAACGGAGAGGAGGCGCGGCGGTCGAAATGGGAGGCTTCGGCGACAGCGTTCTGACAAGAATCGAGCTATGAAAATGGATGTGTTTTCTTCATCTAGTCACTCTGAATCTACAAGAACTGAAATTACCTCGATTGGATAGTAGACTGCGGAGATATTGCAATCGGAAGTTTTAGTTGTTTTCAGAACTTTGGCCGGTGATTGCGGCTAATTCCGGAAGAGTTGGAGGTCGTGCAACATGTCAAAATGTTCAGCTCGTCGTGATCTTTACGACGAGCCGAGAGATGTCAGAAACGGACATCGGAATCCTCATCGGTGTGTTTTGGATGGTGTGGAGAGAGAAGGAAGGAGAGAGTGAACGTGGAAGAGAGAGAGAAGGAGAGAAAAAGGAGAAAAAGAAAAAGAAAAAAGAAAAATAAGCTTGGATTTTCTGTGCAAATTTGATGATTAGACTTCAAAGTCTAATTTGAATAGAGTATGGAATGACTCATTATTTTTGTTCCAAAAAATTAGCTACTAACACTTTAAAACTGTTCGGGGCACAGTAGTGTCAATTTCAAATTAATCATTTTTAAAGGAAAATGTCATTTACGTGATAATTATAACTGAAATTTTTTTCACTAATCTCGAATTAGATTAATTAATCTCAATTAATTTAACCGGGTGTTGCAGCGTGTCTCTGTATGTGTGTAGCCAGCCTCTTTGTGGTCGTACAAGGGCTGTAGAAATATGCCTTCATTGCTGAAAAAATGATTTTGAATAAGTTTTCCATTTGACTTTTGATTGACGATTCTTTTCTTGTAAGGAGGTGATTTAGGGAGCAAGCCTTGGTGTAATTGACTTTTCCTTTTGCTTTTCTAGGCAAGATCCCATGGTTTGGTGCTAATTAAATGATGGAATCAGCCAATAATCTTAGAATGCTAATGTGGCATCTCCGCGGCTCGAATGGTTGTTTGGGCGGCCAAATTTACTAATGTGTAGTGGGTTGTTTATGGCAGTTGATTTCGTGATTCAATCTCATTTTTTGAGACGTATGAGGACAAGTGTATGATGAGAAATAAAGAATGAAATTTGACCTTAACTATTATTAATATTAACTAAAAAGATGCAGAATTCTATATAAATTATAAATAATCTAAAGGAGAGCCCGAGGGTACTGTTCACTCAGGCTTAACTTACTATTTCTTCTACAGTAGAATGACCATTTTGCTTTTATTTCCTCTTTTTTTTTTTGCCCTCGGTACAGGGCCTGTTTAGTCTTTTCTTGCCTTCAGAGTTTTTTTTTTTTTCACTTGAATCACTTTTCTATTTTTCCCTTCTCTCCTCCTCATTCGTCGCCCTTTCTCGCAGAAACCCTAGCGTTTGGAACTCGTTCTAAAATGATTTTGTTTTCTGTATGAAAATGAAAACGAAAACGTTGTTATTTTCATTTTGGAATCATTTCTGAAAATGCGTTTGGTAGTTTTATTCTGAGATTGTTTTCAGTTTAAAAAAAACTGAAATTGTGTTTGGTGGTTTAATTTTTAAAAACATGTAATAATATTTAAAATAATAATATATTAAATAAATAATAATATTAAATATATTAAATAATAATATCTTAAATAAATATCTTAAATAAAGATTATATACATGAACAAAACCAAAAACCAGAGTAAAACAAGAAACATGAACAAAACCAAAAATCAGAATAAAACAAGAAACATGAACAAAACCAAAAACAAGTGTAAAACAAGAAATATGAACAAAACCAAGTTAAAAAAACACCTACAAGTGTATCTTATAAGTGCTTTTGATGTTCCCATCATCATCAATTACAACATGAGTATTACTCAAGGGCTTATCATCAGGTTCTTTTTGTTGGAAACCACTAAGTGACAACCAAATGCCTGATTTTCTGCAACAAATGCCTGCCCATAAATCTCTATAGCCACAAAGGCGAGCAACAAACGTTCTGTCATTTGAAGACTTTCCCCATCTTTAGCACCCACAAAAGCGAAGTTTTCAGGAAATCATATCAATTTCGCCACAGCTGAAGTTGCTTCCTTTACAGATTCAATAGTTCATCATTTTTATAACCAAAGTCTCAAAATTTACGGAAATTTTGATTAAAAGAACTATAAAAGAAGACTTTTGGATATTTGATAAAATCGATTGAATAATATTATCGACATTTATAATTGTTGGATGACGAGAAAAA